TCCTAACTCAGTTTTCGTCCCCCGTTGGACTTGAACTGGCAACCTTACGATTGGTGACCTGGGAGCGTAACCACTTCACTACTGACCCACAGGTCACAAGTTGATTTTAATTAGTTATTATTAATTAAAGTTAAATTTAATTAGTTGTTATATAAATTTAATAATTATATAATATAAATTTTTTTTTTATATATAGTTGCTTTAAATAATAATTAAATTAGTCAACTTTTTATAAAAAGTTATCTAAATATTTAAATCTAAATATATTGCTTTTATCTATATATATTTATTAATAATTTATTTATATTATTAATTATAGTAATTAATACATTTAATACTACAACTTATATATCTACTAATACTTTTACTATGTCTAATATTACACCTACTACTATTACAACTACTATGCTAACTACTATATCAACTATTATACCAACTACTATGGCAACTACTATATTAACTACTTTGCTAACTACTATATTAACTACTATGCCAACTATTATGCCAACTACTATGCCAACTACTATGCCAACTACTATGCCAACTACTATGCCAACTACTATGCCAACTACTATGCCAACTACTATGTCAACTACTACATCTATTATACCTACTACTACACATATTACAACTATTACTAAGCCTACCACTATGCCTGTTACTTTAAAAATATTAAAAATACCAAAAAAATTAGAAACAACAATTGGAATTATAAAACAACTTAAAACTGAAATTAATGTAATAATAGACTTATACAATAGTGAAGATGAAGACTCAAATAATAGATAAAAATATATTTTTATAATTTTAATATAAAATTTTAAAATTTAAAATTATAATAAGTTATAATACTAATATTATAAAATGTAATAATTAAAATTTTAATAATAATTATTAATATAATTACTAATTTTTAAATATTAATTATTATATTATATAATTTGCATTATAAAATTGTAATATATTTCTAATTTTTTATAATTATTTTATAACTTTTATATTGTAAAACTGATATAGAAAAACTACCAAAGCTGGCTTAATTATATATTAATCGTGAATGTGCTGCCAAAAATGCAGTAATAGCAAATTAAAGAGAAATGGAAAGGTGATATGAATATGCTGCTAGTTATGATACAAGAATAAAAAAATCCTAAATAATAATCGAAAATATTCTATAAAAATAGCAAAAACAACAGCTTATAGTAAAATTACTAATCATCTTCTATATGTTACAATGAAAACATTACAAAAAAGAACTCAAAATCTTTTGTTATTTATGATATATTTAAAAAAATTAGTGTTGATAAAATAAGAAGAATTAAATCATATACTGCTAATTAAATTTCTAATCTTGAAATACAACAAATTGAAATTAAAAATTATGAAAACTTTACAGCTTATTAAAAATATTTTTTTAAAATATTTATTTTAACTTTAATTATATATTTTTAGAAACTATACTTTTTTTTTTATATATTGTTAAAATATTTATAAAAAATAAAATAATAATTATAAAAGTTAAGTATAAAGTATTTTTAAATTTAACTATTATTTATACTATATATATAAAAATCTTAAAACAAAAGAAATAATTTTTTCCAAACCAATATCCAGATACTAATTGCTTTTACTGTAACCTAGCTAACTCTCATTCTTACTAGCATACTTGTGCTAATACACTCTTGCTTAACTAAATTATTCAAACATCTACAAATCAAATTATCTCCAGCAAATTATCTGATCTTGATACTTACCAAAAAAATGACCTAATTCATAAAATCCTTCATCATCCAATTCTCAACCCCTTATACATCTTACCTAACACATTTTATGCTAATCTTACTCTCAAAGGACTTATTCCAAAGTCACTCATATCAATAGTTCAAAACTTTAACATATTATATAAAACTGCCTTCCAAGTTATTATTAATATTCTTCTTAATATTAATGAACAATCATACGAACAATTATGGAAAACATATTGCATTCATTTCTCTAACTGGAAAAAACAACAAAACATACCTCAATCTCATCCAATCAACAAACCTTTAATATCATTTAACTCAGCAACTAGGCATACACATTTTCATAGAACTATACTTATTCATGCCTTTGTGGACTTCTAGATCAATTACATACTCACTCTAACACATGTCTTCCTATTGGCTAAGCAATTCGCAAAATTAACATTTGGTCTATTCTATAGATCAAATATAGCATATCATCAAATTATATACTAAACATTCAAATCTAGGTGAGCTTTGACCACTCTAGTAGGTTTA